CCCCAAAACCCCAAAACCCCAAAACCCCAAAACCCCTTTCATTTATTTTATCGTTGAAATATTTATGATGGAAGAGAACAATAGACTGCCTAGCAACCAGGAGTAAGTCTCAGGCTTCTAACTTTACCATGCTTTAGAAATGGCTCTTATGGTGAGATATAGGTGCTTTAGCACAAATTCCGCACTATCAATGCTAAGAAACAACCCTTTTCTTAAGATGATGGTTGAGAAAGACATTATTGCTGAGATGAAGGAAAAGGATGGTGATAAGAATAGCAACCAGAGCTTAAGTTCCACGCCTATCCGCTCAGCAATCCAGGATAATAACGCTGCATCCAATAATAACCAGGATGGACATGATGATGTGAAGGGAAGTGACAAGCCAGGATCTGGGTATGCACCTTAGGTGATGAATTTAGGGATAAAGCTACCTCAGCAGTTGGCCAACAGGACCAGATACACTCTATTCCTGGTAAATCAATCCCTAACAATTTCAGAAGTAGATGAGGACGCTACAGAATTTCAAAGTACAGTTAATGCAAGCAGGAGAGAAACTGAGAAATTTATGAATGATTCAGGCGAAATACGTAAAATCATTGAGAATAATCAGCACTTCAAGAATGCCATTCTCGAGCTTAAAGAAGAGCTTAAGGGGTAAATCTGGTCATTTATACATAGCTCTGAAGAATTCAGTGAGTTTGATAAACAGCCTAAGACACCTGAAGAAAACCTGCTAGATGACACTGAGATCAACCGTTTTGAACTAGAGTATAAGAAGCATATTAGTGTGACTACGAAGAAGGCTGAGGAGGAAAAAGAGCTAAGACTTCCAATTCCAGATCGGAAAATGTCCCATGGCGACGCAGAAGCTTATAATAGGTAAAGCTTTTGGAATGAGGAATAGGACCAATAATCTCTATACCCAGATAGACAAGTACCTTGAGGAGAATATCACAGAAGTAAGCCATGAGTTTAATATGCATAGGAAGACGTTAAGGAGTTTAATAAGGAGTTCCAGATTTACTCAGATTCCCAAGAGAAATCTGATGGGCATGAAGAGCTAGCCAGAAAAGGGAATAAGAAGGACGAGAAAGTGCAAGATTGAAAAGAAGAGGAGAAGGGTGGAGAAAAATTAAGGAAAAAGAAAGGAAATAAAGCCCCTCGTGATTATAAAACTGCTAGCTCTCCACAATCTCGTAAAATTGTCAAATCTACCAAAAAGTCTAAAAGGCAGAAACCTAAAAAGTGTAAAACTAAACTCAAACAATCGAAAAATTCATCAAACAAAAACCTGAGAAAACTCAAGAAAACGATCTCTTCACTTACCAAAAGATCTCCCGGCTTACACTCCCCTAAAACCTCAAAGTAACCCCTTCAATCACCAAAACCTAGAAAATCCCCAAAACTCCCCAAATCCTCCAAACCCAAGAAATTCCACATCTCCCAATCAGTCCAGCGCCTGCCCCAACTCAGCACCCTCCTCAAAATCCCCGAGCAGGGCATTTCCAAATCCCGAAACCCCCACAACCAGACCCTCCTCAACTTCTTCAACTCCCACAGACCCAAAACCGACAAAATCAGTAATATGCTCAGTACGTTCCCACTTATCCCTCTAGTGAAGAACGCGAGCAAGACCCATCGCAGCACTAAGAAGAAGACCCAACATGTACGTAAAATCCCTTAATCTCTGCCCAAGCGCTAACAAGTGAAGATAGGAGAGCACCTGTTTAATTACAGTCGTGTGCTGAGTGAAGAACGGAATAAGAGGTTTGTAGAGAAGAGGATTAGGGATGAGGTCAGGAAGAATCAGCAGTGCACGTTCAGGCCGAGGAAGGTGGCAGGAGGGGTCTGTAGTAGGAGTAAGGGAGATAAGGGAGATTTAGGTTATGTATCATTCAACTGCCCCGCCACATCCATCCATTCCAGCCAAAAGTAAGCTCCTTCCCAAAAACTCTATTCCTTAAACCTTCCAAATTTCCTGCTTAAGCCCCTTCTATAGGAAGAAGCAACAAATGACGCTCAAAAGACTAGGTACGGGCAGAATTAGAACGAAATTTAGAGGACTGGGTTAATTATAAGGAGAAATAAGATCAGAGCGATGAAGGAGTTATCGGAAATGGAGTTTAAAGATACACATACGTTTAGACCCAAAGTAAAGAGGATGAACAGGTCTAGGAGCAGTAAGGCCATGAGAAAGCTTTGTAAGTGAGGGTTTGGGAATTAGAGGGTTATGAGGGAAGGGAGAGTAGTGTTGGCGGTGCTGGTAGACCTCTGATTTGTGGGATTATAGCAAGTTCAGGCACTTTGGGTAAAGGTCAGAGCGGTAAAATGTTGGCTCAGAATAGCTATTCGGAACTTGGTATTGTTGTTTAGAGTAAGATATAGGCCTCAAGTATTTTCAAAGCAAGCTTAGAATGATGAGTGATAAAGACTTTGAACTATAAATCAGAAGGAATCATAATGATAAATTTTCAATAATTACAGATAAAATCGGGGTTTTGGGGTTTTGGGGTTTTGGGGTTTTGGGG